AAAAATGGTTAGGTGCTTTAGATGGTATAGGAAGACACCATTATACTATGATTGTAATTACAGATGAAAGTATTGAGTATATCTGAAAGTGGGAACTGTTGCGTTCCCCAACTACTACTGTACAAGCAGGAACTTGATATGAGTCCCCAAAGTTTGCATGAGGTTGATCCAGCTCCTCTACCAACAGTCTCAGGATGAATATAAACTATGTTCTCCAAAGAGAGTGCAAGGGAAGTGTTGTAACACTGGTTCTCCCAACCCTAGAAGGGTGTTTATGCCTGAAAAAGAATTGGTATACAGTGAAACCACTGCCCTGCTATGAAGGAATTCCTACCCTGTACCCAGCTCTTTTTTCTTAAAACTAAGGTTCTTATGTTGTTGGAAGAGGGACATAATAATGAGGAGGAGGATTGAAACGGTGGTTAAGTGTTTGCATTGAAATGGTAAGCAATCTTATCCCAAGAAACATGGAGGTGCAGAGTGGGCTCCACTCTCAGTATTTTTCTTGCTCAATCTCTCCAGATGGGCCAATGAAATGGGCTCCAAACAACCAGGAGATTCCTATAGTTGCTTCTACTTCCCAAGAAGTCCCAGCCATCACTCGACCCAGAATCAACTATTTTGTTCCCTTCTTATTGTGTTCAGTTGGGGGGAGGACATGCTACTAGAGCAGGTCTGTTCAGCCAACAACAACAAACTCTTTTTTAAATGTATTTATTTAAATTACTTTAAAGTATACAGTACACAGTATATTGGTTAGACATCTATATAGAAAAAAAAAACTCTTAAGAATTTTTCTTCTCTAGAGTAAAGAAAGAGCTCATAGTCTTTTCAAGACCATAAAAACTTCCATAAATCAGGATGGTGAGGAGGCGAAGGTGAGAGGAAACATTTGGAATTAAGCAACACCATTCCCAACTAGAAGATGTACAGTTTCTGGCTGGCTAGCAAGAAGCACTTGGGGTTATAACACACATTTTATAAGACAGAGGAGTGTAAATGGCACTATGTATGAAAAACTGAGAGGTTCCTTGTTGAACCTGAATTTGGTTGAGCTCCAGGATTGTAGTGGAAGTGAACCAAGAAAGTGAAGATGCACTAGATAAAATATAGGGCAGGGCTATGACATCAGACATTTTTTCATCTAGCCTTGGTTTTTCATTAGGCTACATTGGATATTTGGATGTACAGGGAGAACTGAAATTTTGGGGAGCCAGAGCAAATATGTTTCTTCTTCTTCTTTTTCTTATTCTCCTTATTTTTTTTTCTGTTCTCCACTAATAGTGGTTCAAGAATAAACTCTTTGGAAATAATAGATATTCAGAAAGATTTTCATTCTTGATTCACCACATTTTTCCCACTTCCCAATGCAACCTTTCCTCCTAGAAGCAGGTTCACTAAGCACACAGAGCCAGGAAAAAAGGCAATCTGATGTGATTCAGTAGAAGAACTAAAGGCAATACTATTGGCCTATTTAAACAGGCGAAGTAAGAATTATGTTCATATTTGCACTATGATTCTCTTTCAATGACTACAGTTGGCATTTCTAAAATAAAAACTCAGTGACAATTGACAAAGTCAAAATGCTTTTATTAATACTGAAGTTTAGCAAATACATTTCTAACAAAGATGGTGTACTTTAACTTAATATATGATAAAACAGAGAAACCATACACATAAGTTTCTAGTCTCTAACACACTACTGCATTTTTCCCTAAAAGACAAAAAGCCAAGCTGAAGTAAGCATAGAAAATCATCAAATATGTTCAATTTACTTTACTCACAAGGATTTAGTTCATATTCTTAAACTGGTCAATCTAATGTGAAGACAAAGTTTACATCGTTGCTTTAAAAATGTACACACGTTTCTTTTTTAATAACACAATATAAATTGAATAGTTGCTTCAGTAAACAAAGTTTTGCTGATAAACACAATCAAAATAACTCCATTTTGGTTAGTTTCAGAGACAAACTGGAATCACAAGCATCTTCAGTTATGCAAAGCCAGTGAGGACCTTTCATGCTGAATAAAACTGTTGTGCCATTGCTAAACAGTAATAGTTACCTCCTTTGAAAAAAGAAAACAAGTTAGTTCCTCTGAGGATTAATTCTGAAACGTACTTAAAAATATTAAACATCTATCTTCAGAAACCTGAATTATCTGATGATGTAACAGGCTTGATTTAGTTTCGATAAAATTGTAAATTTCTTAACATTTCTATATGTTAACATGTCAGTTTTTGAAGATCCTTCAAATTTCATGCTACAACTTCTGTTCTTTCCACAGCACTGAAAACATTGAAGACCGATAAGATTCTTTTCATACTATGATGTCTGTAGTTACCTACATGACTTTTTGCTTTGTACATATGGTATATTTGAGATCCCTATGTTTTACCAAAAGAGTGAAAGCAGTATCTGGTCATGATCTAAGGTAATGACAGCTTTGTTACATTTAGAATTTCCTCTCCCCAGGTTAACCCTGAGACTGTGCATACTGCATGAAGAGAGACTAGTTCTGAATATGATTTTAGTATACCGTCTGATTAAAACAGTACCTATTTAAATTTTGGTAATCAAAATAATCCATATCATCCTAGAGTCTGAAAATATTTGATAATGTGTGTAAAAATTATAATTGGAAACAATTTTCAAAGACGATTTTACCTCTTTTTGTCTAACCTTGTTTTTCTCCATAGCCGTGGCTTATGGCCTGAGTCTCTATCCAGCTACCTCATAAAAATTAGCCTATGGTCACAAACGAACCAGAAAAGAAAGTGTGGATGATCAGTACAAATCTATCACCCATGATTAAGAAATACCTAAAGTCTATGTTTGTGAGTCAAATGTATCATCTTCACACCTAAAGAAGAATATATCATCATTATTGGACTGATATGCATAGTCTAAAATATTCATTCTAGTCAAAGCTTAGCATTGTCAGGAGGAAAATACCCTTTTGAAGCCTTGTTTATAAAATCTTTAAAATATTTATTATTTTTATGTAGAAGACATTGTGGGGTGTCAGGGAGATTTTCTGGATAGTACCTCAGAACCAAAAAGAATGATATGGTAAGATAATAGAAGAATAATATTTGTGTCTACGTTAATCAGATAACCTGGAGGGCCAGACTTCATTAGAGGGCAATCAAAGAGACCTTGAAATTCACCCAAACATTTCCAGCAACCAGAAGAAAACAAAGCTTGAATTTTTTGAAACTGTCTAGTCGTCTGTCACCCCAGATAATTGTTCAGATCCTTTTCTGGCATCTGAGAATATTTATTCTGATAAAATGCACCAAATAGTTGCTCAGTTTTCCAGTCTACCTCATCCTCTATATACACAGCCTAAACGTCAAAGGAAAGTTCTTCAACATCAAATGGCAGACAGTCATTTTACCAGGATTGAAATTTACACAATATAGCTAAAGTTTAAATCATGCAATATAAACTGTGAACGTTACAAACTTGAAAACAATGACAAAACAAAATAATATCCTGTAAAAAAGGTACATATAGTAACTAACGCCAAAAAGCAATCATCATTTGTCCTTTAGAAAAATGAAATTTCTGAAAATCTCCCTCCTTTACTATGTTTAATTATTATCTTTATAAAAGAAGACAAACGTATCTGCCCACATTCTTCATTTAATGTGCCGATTTATAAGGTCTATCAGGAACCGTTTCCAAAGCAGTTCAAAAGTCCAAAGAAAAGCTAAGCTAGCAAAAAGAAGACAGTATTACTATGAATCAGGTTTTCTATGCAGAATACAATTAAATTGAGATTTCATAGTAGTAAAACTTTTTCTCCTAATTTAGAAGACAGTAGCAACATAGACTCTTGTGTAGCATGCTGTATAATGTTAATATAAATTCTGTTACTGTTTTACGTACACCAATACTGAGTGATTGTAAGGAAGGAGCCAATATTGACCTGCTAACTGACACTTTTTCTTGGAGCAATCTCAAAATTTACCACATTTCAATTTCAAAATGCATTTCAGCTATAATATGAATGATTTATCACTTAGTAGTAGCTGTCAAAGTAAACTCTTAGATAAAACAAAAACATCTGGAAACATAAACAGAGGAAAGCAATAGCTGAATTTTAATCCAAACCCAGCATGCTCACTTCATTAGGAACAGGAAACAGCTGATTAGTAATTGAATGTTTCATGTTTTTAAGAGGGTTCGTACTTAAGCTCCAAACAGAGATGATCTAATATGCATCCTGGGTGTAAACAAGATTAAAGATCAGGAAAAGCAAAGAACAAAGCCTCTCTAGAGGAATGTTAGGGAGTTTAGGAACTTATAAGGAATGACACACACTGACATTTAGGGAGAGGCGACAGAATTTATTGGTTTAAGATTTATCAGATAAGTAAAAATGCAAATTCATTACACACAAAATGATCGTTTGAAAAATAAAAATGAAGGCCTATACAGCCCTTCCCTTAGCACAGCACTGCCTAACATGGGCATGCCATGATACAGGAGTCTGGTGTGGCCTCCTCTATACAGGAAATGAGCCTCTGCTGATCAGTTGAGTGATGTCTAAAGGGTCACACCTGACTGTTCCAAACTCAAGTAAGTGTGAGACTTGCTTTCTGCAGTATATATTGGAAGCTGATGAAAGGAGAAAAGCTAAAATCAGGTACCAACAAAAAAGGCAGATATGTGGGGAAAGGCCAGAAAAAAACACATGGAGATTCCTTATAGTTCAACCAAAGTCAATTAAACATATCTATTGATAAAAAGACATCTACTTTGTCTTTAAGTGACTTAATTTGAAAATGCTGTTCAATTTTCTCTATAATTCAACATATTTTGTTTGCCTATCAAATAATGATATTTCAGGATGTTATATTTTTAGTCATACTTCCTTGTTATTTGATTCGGATATGTGGTATTAATAATTTTTTAAAATTTTATTTGCTTCAGTCTTTCTCCATGATTTGTAATTTGCATTATTTCACTAAATTAGGTTAAATCACCACATCTACTCTACACAAGTAGACCTACAGACTGTTGAGCACACCAGAAACCACATGCCTGTGCCTTAGAAGAAATTCCTTCATAGAATGGAACGACCGGAATGTCGCACTGATGTGAATTAATGTAATATTTAAAAGTGTGTAAAGTAGGTGGCCATTTCAGCAGAAATTGCATGTACTATCCCTGGGAACTAATTTGAAGAATATATAAAAACTTGGTTGGGTACATGTAAAAATAACAATGTATTAGATTTTGCTCATGTAAAGAGGGCACTTTAGGAGGGGAATTCAATCTTTTTGATCACTTGAGTACAATTTAACACATTGGACTATTGCTCTATTAGATTCTTAGGAGGCATGAAAAAATGATGACAGATATTTGCCACCAGTTTTTGGCCAGGTGGACATTAAGTAAACAATTAAAAATATTTTAGGCCATTTCTTGGGCAATGCAAGCAATATGACTCATTTGGTTCTAATCACTGGAACATTTTAGGCATCTGGCTGTATATAGACCAGAGGGTGAGCAATGGAAAATATTTATGATGTGATTAAGCCATCATGTCTGCCTTTCTTCTTTCTTAGCCTATAGATTTTTTAGTTGTTTGCTCGATGATAACTCAATAAAGAGGAAACAGGATTGGAGATGGGAGGAGAGCAGAAAAGAATAAAAGGGATATTCTTAGTAGCTTGGGTATGTGTTTTTATCATTGCCTTCTTTACAGATACGGAATGTGCTAGTAGAAAGGGAGTAAATGAGTTGTTCCATCATCAACAGATCAAAGAAAGAACTAGGTGTGGTAAATTCTATAAACTAGAGTTCTCTATATTCCCTTAGAGAGCACTACAAGCAATGTGCATCTTTTAGAAAGGTGAGCTCTAAAACAGTCATAACAAATATTGAACATTTTTGCAAACAAGTTACATCTTCACATAATTTCCGTTAAATCCCAGGTCAGCCAAATATAAAGCTATTTCATAATAATCACGGTTTAAAGGGGGCATGTCTACATTTTAATTTCTGTCATGCCATTTAGAAATAGCATTTTTCTGTCTTAAAAATTCTTCTACCTACTTACTCCACTAGGATGCTGTGTGGATTAATATGATAATGTTTATGAAGCAGTATGAACTCCATAGAAGAAAAGGTTTATAGAAGTATAAAGTATCATATTCAATCATCATTATGATTATTCCCTAAAACCATGTGAAGCCCATTCTCTAGCACATTTTTCCTTTACGTTCAAGATTCTATTTATTGGTCATGAATGAATAGTAATCGAAGGTTCCATATTTTAAGAATTTGTGTATAAATTCGAAAGAATTACAGCACTAGATAAGCAAGTAACTGCTACAGCACCCTATTCGGGCCTATGACCAGTTGGAGTTCCAGCATCAGTGTTCAGGCTGCACAAAAAAAAAAAAAAAAAAAACAATAAGACCAGGTCAATATTTCATTCCAACAACAAAAAAATCCAAAATCTACTCAATGAACGTCACTGACAACCACAAACTGGCTTTATAGTATTTTGCTGTGCTATATATGCCTGAGATTTGAATAAATCTGTGTAGAATAAATGTATTAGACTTATCCCTTAATCATATATTCATTGATGTCTCATTCTATTAAAATGAAATTATACAAATGTGAGCAAAAATGTAGATTTACAGGAGTTTAAAGCTTAATCTTATTCTCTAGGGGCAATATGGACAATATAAAAATGGTATAAATGATATTTCCTAACTTTAAAATATGCTTATGAGCCCCTTGTGCATGTTCCGCTGCTTTAAAACCTACAGTGAAATGCATGACTAGCTTAGTAAGCAAGGCATTTAGAAAGTTTTTTTTTTTTTTTTCTCTTTTACAATCAAACATGAGTAAAGATCCACATCATTTTCTCTGAGTTGAAATCTTTGTTACTGATTGCAATTTCCCCTCAGGATGAGAGTTCCTTTCCTGACAGAATGGTTATTTAAAAGTAACTTCTCACTATTTATTTTTTTTAACTGCCAAGAAATGTGTCTATGTTTTTGAAGATTTAAATTTACGTTTAGAAAAAAATATATTTTTCCTACCCAGAGCTCATGTATTCTTCCAAGTGTTTCTTCACCTCTTATTAGCTTATATAAACAATGGGATTTCTTTAAGAAATAATAGGCATCACAAACATACTTTGGGCTATCAAACCTTTCTTTTGAGGGAGGTAACATATCCATGAACTAATGGCAATATTTTAGAAATGATTTATCCACCTAAGTATTAAGTTTTATGTTTTGTTCAAGTTACTTTCATTGATTTGTTTCAAATTTTCAAAGGGGCACTATATTATTTGGCGCTAAATAAGATCGCATTAGAAAAGTCATGTTTTCCTAACCTGAATAAGAGATAGAGAAAACAATTTGCCGGTTAATGCTCCACTTCAATCTTAGATTCAATCCAAATTAAATATGCAATTAATTGCATGAATTATATTTCAATTTGTGGAAACATTTTCAGAATGTGACCTTCTTAGAACAAATAAGCCACAGTAGTGATGTTAGTTTGGGGTCCAGTTAGTTATTAGTACAGTAATATAATATGAAGCTACCAATTTGAGAGAAGGAAAAGTAGACCATTACAAGATAGGTCAGATAATAAAATAGCATAGCATTTGATAGAGAAAAGCATTACTTTAAAGTCATTTTTCAGAAGTGTCTAGTGCTTATTATTATAATGTGCCACTTTTAAAGAATGGAGGTTTCTTAAAAATAATAACGGCTTGGACTTATCAGCCCTAAAAAAAAATCTGACATACTCTAATCAAAACAAAGACGAATATAAGTCTTCTTTGTAAATGGTATCATAATGGAGTATTGACCTCTCTTTCTTTCGACTCACTTTGTTTTTGTGAATTGATTCTTTAATATGTTCTTTTCCCCTTCAATCTAGTTCTTGTAAGACCCAACACAAAATGGGAACATTGATACCCTTCCTTCTATTCTCATATAGGGATAAAATACTAAAATATATTTATCATAACTATATACTACAGAGCATAAGTTTTAAAGATTTATACATCAATTAATGGCAAATATTTCACCCCTACTAAAATCTATACATGCAAATGTAAATGCTAACTTCATATGTATTTTATAAGGCATAGTAATGATATCTTTTATATGTTATACTTGTCAGAGAGTATTGACCTAATTTATTGATGAGGAAGATTAGGCAAATACTATTATTACTATTTTACTAAAATTAAGTCAGAGAGAGGTTGAATGACTTCTCAAGATTAGTAACGGAGTTAGGCAGCTAGTTACTAAGAAGCCTTGACTAATAGACCAGTGTTCTTCCTATCACTTCATTGTGCCTCCCACAGACCAGTTATAAAATGGCAATAAAAGTACATGTGTCCAGTACACAGACCTGCAACTTAGAGCCACACTAAGAGCTCTAGAAGTACATGAATTGTACTTTTCAGCAGGGAAGAGAAGGGCAGGGAAAGAAGAACCAATAAAAACTAATATTTATGGAAAACTGACAGTTAGGAACCATACTAAGCCAATCTAAGCACTTACATCACATGTGGAATGACATATTCTTTCATTAGTTCTTATTGTAGATAACGTCATGGTGGAAAGTTGTAAGCTACTTATATTTCTATGCCAATCCTCTAAAAATTCTTATGTCTTATCAACCCACCTTCCATAAGTAAGTTATGAATGTTTTATAAAGGTCAAATTTATTTGAGTTTTGTGTAGAATACATATTAAGAATATTTTAATGTAATATTTAAAGCACAATTAAGTTTTTTTTTCTTTTTATAACTTTACTCCATTTGTATGCTAACCTGACAGAAAAACACTAAAAATTCTCATTTCAAAGGAACCAAAATACGTAATTAAAATATGGAGGGAAATGAAAATGGAAGTAATGGAAAAACATTAAATATTTATTTGAACAATGTTAAAAATGACCACATCCAATATTTACCATTGAAGTCTGAAATGCAGTTACCAGGAGATTGTAATATTTGAGTTGAAGGTTTTGCCTCATTCATTTTAAATTGTTATTCACCAATGTTAAGATCAACGTGAAATTCATTTGTATTGTTTTCAAGACAATAAGAGCATTTAAACATTTATGGAAGAATAGGAACATAGAGAAGAAATAGTTATAAAAAAATTATGCTTTCTTGAAAACTAATAGAGGATTCGATTGAATGTTGCCCAAATAAATATTTTCATAATTGCAGTAAAGTAAATGCCACATTAAGTACGTGGATTATTACTAATGTTAATTTTCAAGTATTAAATAAATAAATCTTAAACTTTGAGAGTCCATAGATTAGGGGGCTTCAAGGAGAAAGGAGGTCTACATAAAATTCTAAAGAATATTTTTCTTTAAATTGACTTTAATTTCCAAAATTGAATGTTGTATAGCTATTAAAAATGAGGAAGAGTTCCCTAGAACAAACAAATAAAAAATTATGTTAAGGACCTTGCCTAAAATTATATATAACTGAGGGTCTGTTGAGGTCTAGTTCTGAAAGGATGATATGAGTTTAGCTATGGATAGAAAACTTATTTCTATTAGCATTTTATCATTTTTATAGTTTTAAATAGAAAAGAGAGATGTATGATATTTGTATAATTTTACTAAGTTTTATCGCAGTCTCTGCAAAGTTTTAACCCTTTTCCCATTTGCTCTGAGAATACTTGGCAGTGGCCCTTGTAGCTGCAGCATTTATCCCAATATAATTCACAGAATACAGTCTTAATCTTACCCCCAAATATTGCCATGAAAAATCTTGCTT